GTTGTATTTTTGGCATCCGCGTAAACATAAATTTGAAAAAAAATTTCATTCCCAAAATATCGACGAGATGAAGCCAAGATATAAGTAAGATTAAACGAATTACCATCCCATTCATTATTGTTATCCAATAATGGCCAATTAGCTAATTGACGAAGTGACGATAACAGTTGTCTGAATATAACTCTTTAACTGATAAGCACAAGGCAAATGGTATAACGCATTAATCGTTTTGACAATAATGCTTTCATTTATACTTCAAAAAATGAAAATAATAATTATATGCTTTAGCGTCCGAACAATCAATATTGTTATGACATAGTATCATATTAATTGAAAGCATGCCATCAGGAAAAAAGCTATCTATAGTCTCATTATCATTCACAAGAAGTGATAAGCAGAAAAAAGAATATCAGTGAAAGAAATGTAGTTAGAACTAAAGAAGACTTGATAAAATTATTGTTGGTTTAAAAAAAGAACGGGAAAAATTAACATTTCCTGAAAAGATTTTAAAACCAAACAAATTCAATGACTAATGGGACTTCTCCTACTGATGGTATTTCCTAATATCACCACATATCACTTACGTTCGCAATATTTCATGCGACATGCTAATCATAAAACTTTGCTTAATCTTATATCACAACTGACTTATTTTAAACGGTCTCAAATTAATGAAATATAAAACATACGATGACTTGACTGATTTAATCTTGCTAGTATTCATACATGTCTGATAAGCAATACGTGTCATTTCAATCGATCTCGATTCAGGTGGTACATCTGATTCCAGCAATACTACAATGAAAAAAAGCATAGATTACATAAAATTAGCAAGAAAGGTCAATCTTACAGTTAAGACTGGTTATTAACAGTGAAAATGTTATACTTTAGCGGTAATTATTTTATTGAAAAATTGATTTGTTTAGATATATATGAGCAATAACCTTTGATCTTTTTCAATGACATATTCTATTGACTATGTTCAAAATAAGATTCCAAAACAAATATAAAGAAAATATTTTTTTTTATATAATTGCACAATCAGTATTACCTCTCATTTGTTGCCGGACATTTTCTCGGACAGATACAAACGTACCATAAGCAAACATATCATCAGGTATCATATGATCGCGATTCCATTGGCCACAAGCATATTCGAAAAAGTCATCACATGGATCAACCGATAAATTCATTGCCATTAGCTTAAATATATTTTTTTAAACATCATTTTCACTCATATTAAGTTATAGTATCGGTAACAGCAGATCATTTAATTAATAAGTGATAGAAAAATAAAAGAAATTATAACAAGAATTATCCATGGATAAGCCTGTCTAAAACAAAGAAATCCGAAAGATAACATCATTCTATATTTGCAGTAACCTAGTCCAATCAATGATACGAAGCAGCGAAGAGAGTAGCGATTTATAATTAAATTTGATTATTAATAGATTTCATCGTCATGGATAGATTTCGCAAATGAAGAACGTAATATACCGAAGCTTGTTGTAGGCTCGTTGATAGCTAAGAGGGCTAGTGCGGGATAGACAAGTTCAGATGCAAAAGGCATGATCTTCTTAGACGTATTTATGAGGTACGGTTTTTTCTGCGTTATCGTTTGTTCTCGAGGATGATTTTACGCGTATTCTCGAAGAAAGCAACAGCACAGCATTATGGATGATGTTGTCTCCATGCTTCCCGATTCTAAGCTAGAATGGACCATTATTGGTCGCAGTCTATGAGGCCAAGGTTAGCGGGAGCCGGTATCAGTTCGCCATAAAGCATAATCTTAGGAAGGCGGTAATCCTTCATCCTGATGACGTGTCCAGCCCAGCGCAATTATATCTTCATAGTATGACCTCAATACTGTTGACTCCTGCATGCGTGGAAGCAGTAAGTCAAACCAGTGGATGTTTGGGATTGTACCGGAAGGACTCTGAGAGTACATGGATTCAGTCATGTTGATTCTCACAATATGATCGTTTTCATGAATTTGGGATGATATCCTAATCATTCCAACAGGTCTTTTTTGTTTGGTGTTAAAAATTTTGATGAGATCTACGAAGATCATATAAAGGCCTTTGTTCTGTTCCCTACATTTTTCTTTTGCAGCTGTCAGCGAACAAATACCATGTCTTTTGGCTCTAAAATCACACTGGCTTTTAGGTAGAAGTTCTTCTGAGATAACGATACTAATCTGTTTCAGAAGTATTCTTGCAAAGATTTTGTCAGCAGTAGAGAGTAGAGTAATACCTCAATAATTTGAGCAGTTTGATTTTACTCCTTCTTCTATATGATAATAATAATTACATCACGGAAATCTGGTGGTAATTCGCCTTTTTTTTTTTAGCATCATACATTCAGCCCGTGAAACTTAGCATGGAATGCTTGACCTTCATATTTCTAGATCTCAGATGGGATATTATCAACCCCAACTGTTGGGAAAAGCCGAAATATTTCCGGTGTAAAAATAATGGCGACTGTTGCGAATTCCGATTCGCGAGACTCCAACCATACAAATATATAATCAAATTTCTTATTGTAAATGAATATATCCAATGTTATGACTCATTTAATTAATTCTACATTCCTTAGATTTATTTCCATGTTTTTCGGTCTTTATCTCAGTTCAAATCTTTGTATTCATGTCCAACAGGAAATGCCTTTGCTAGCAATCGTTTCAAATTATTTATCTCAATTCCCATCTTTGTTCGGGCGCATCTTTATCCACATGCTAATCTTTCATTGTGACAATGCTTCTACTGTGAGTGGATTCTAACCGTTTCCGTTATGTGAAATTGCCCATGAATGTTTAATGAAAACCACTTCCATTTCCTAATAGATATAAACCCTATGGTATTAACCGAGCGACGGTTATCAATAAATTATCTACAATCTGGTGCGTGTACAACTCAACTCAAATCATCGTACCTGAATCAACTCAATTCAACTTAACGCTTTATATATCGCTTATATCG